TATATATAATATCTCCCTTTGGAGTGGACTTTGAGATTTGTAAGTTTGAAGATCTTTTTTTTTATGCCCAAACATACACACTGACTAAAATTAAAAAAGTGAAAAAGCATAATAGGACCCCTTTAAGATAAATAGTGTCATGTATATTTTTATCTTTTTGCTATAATTAAATCCACCCTGTGTTTTAATTTTACAGGTCTTCCCCATCAAAGTGGACTGGGAGCCCAGCATGAGAATTGTCTTTGGAGCATCCCAGTCAGCAAAAGCAACAGCAGCAACCGGGATAAAGTGATTTTTAACTGTAACGACACTGACACTTGGCCTTCCAATACATACGGCAAGAGCCACCAGACACCAGAATGCACCTTGAATGCTGAACGCACATCAGAGGTTGTCAGCAACAGTAGCAGCACTATTATGGCTACAGGAGCTAGCCAGCAGGGTAATTACCCAATCAGCAAAGCCAGCATTAATCTCTCTTCTAGTATGGTCTCTAGTCAAAGTGGCCCTACCAGGGGCTGGGTCTCAGAGGGAAAAATTGACTTGTCCATGGGCAGTAGAGGGCAGTCCAACTGGGGTGCCTCTAATCTGAACCTAAATCCCAGTGCCAACCCTGCTGCTTGGCCAGCACTTGGACATGAGGGTCCTGGGGTAGGGTCAGGCCCTAGTAGCATGGTTTGCTCAAATCCACTTTCACTCAGTATGTGTGGCCAAGGAGGAATGGCACCACCTCATGGCACCAATGGAAATGGTAGCATTGGTTGTGTCAATGGAAACCTTGTAGGGGACTGTGCATGGGGCAACCCGGATGTCCCAGAACAGCATCAGTCACCCACAAATGTATCTTTCAACATGAAACCTCCTAACCTTAAAATTGATGGACCAAATAACAGTAAACCAGAGCCAATGAGTCCAGTGAACAGCTGGAGAGGAAACCTCAGTCAGTCACCTACTGAGCCTGCCAGCGAAGATGGAACTGCCTTCTGGGGCAACGGCGATGCCAAAAATGGAGAATCTAAGGACTCAGGCTGGGTTTCTGCAGGCATCTCCTCTTGGGGGCAGAGAGGAGCTAGCAGTGGTGGTGGCTGGGGTGACTGGGGCAAACAACCAAGCACTGAAGGTACAGGATGGGATGTAAATGATGGTCCTTCCCAGGACCATATGAGTTCCTGGGGCCCTGATACTCCAGCAAGTGAGGGCAGCAGAGACAGTAGTGAGGGCCACCCAAGAAGAAGAGAAAGGTCCTCAAGTGATGATTTGGCCCCTTTGCTCCCAAGGCAGGACTTGGACCCACGTGTCCTCTGCAACACAGGCTGGGGACAGACTCCAGTTCGCCAACACACTGTTTGGGAAATGGAACAAAGTCCAGACAAAAAGAATGGTGCAGGGACTGAGGTCTGGGGGTCTTCCTCCAACACACCTTCATCTGGACCTGCACCACCTCCTCCTGGATGTGCCAGTCCCAACCTTAGTGTACCTCCTAGAATGGAGACAAGCAAGAGCGAGGGATCTTGCAGGGCCATACCAAATGCAGGCTGGGGAGGATCAGTCTCAGCCTCTTCTCAGCCTAACAGTGGATGGGGGGAACCTCCTGCAAATAAAAAGGTTCCCAATGGATCCCAGTGTGGCTGGGGTGATCCTGTTGCTGAAGGTCCCAATACCAGTGGCTGTAATGGCCAATCCTGGGCTGAGGAAAAGTCCCCTAGCTGGGATGATGGTACTTCTCAGAAGAAAACACAAGGTTGGGGTAATGGAACCAAAACTTCCTCAGGCTGGGGAAGTAGTGGCAGTGGGAATAGTGGAGAGTGGAGTGACCCTTCAGAAATGCGAAAGAATGACTCTGGAAGTTCCTCTTGGGACACTGACAACAGAAACTGGAAAGAAACACAGAGAGGGTGGGGTAAAGCAGAACCAGCACAGGGTGGTAGTTGGGGTGATGCTCAACATTCCAATGGTTCAGCCCAAGGTTGGGGTGGAAAACTTCAGGAATCCACATGTGACAACGGTGGAGCTGGAGGCATAGGATCATGGAGTGGCCCAAATTCTGTGAAACAGAGCAACTCTGGCTGGGCATCAGAAGAGCGACAGGAGCCGGGAGATGAGGCCACAGGCTGGGAAGAACCCTCTCCTTATTCTGTTCGTCGCAAAATGGAAATTGATGATGGGACCTCCACCTGGGGTGACCCCAGTGCTTACAGCAAAAGTGTAAACATGTGGGACAGGAATAACTCCCAAAATCATCCAGGAACCAGCAACAGTGGCAACAGTAATAGCCTCACTGGGCCAAACAACAATAGCAAGTCTTACCAACACCACAGCCAAGGTCCCACTCAGAACCATGTCCGTGGTAGCAACAACAATGGATCACCCAATCAAGGTGAATTTCCTCTCAACAGAATGCCCGTGGTGAACCCAGGTAAGAGAATGCATATATTTTTCTCTGAATTTTAGCTCATTTTATTCCTCTGTACATCTAGCAAACATTAGTAAAATATGCTGAGATTGTTGAAGTCAAGGTTAGTGCCATCTCTGTTGTCCATTGTAATAACATTTTTTTTAAAAACATCCACTAGTTTAGATGCTTAAGTGTGCGTTCTGCCGCCCCTCCCCTGCCAGCTGGTTCAGGTTTGAGCCAGGAATTAAATGCCTATGACTGCTGCGTTCTAGGCCTAGACGCCCCGTTATCATACTCAGGATTTTTTTGTCCAACTCTGGCAACAATGTGGGATACATTTTTTTAAATATTGAAATTTAAAGTCTGATTTGTCCATATTCCTGAGAGCTTGACCCACAATATCTTTATTTCTGTTACAGTGTATCATTAGTGTCTGTTTGTGCTAAGTTTTCAGTTAGTAATAATTTGATGACTTAATTTGATGCAGTGCTCTGTTAAGCTTCTTTTGTATTATACAAAACAAGTAGGACAATTATTTTGATAATTTATTGATTATTTGAACATAAAAACCCCATTTTATTTTCTGTATTTTAATTACCAGGCTGGGGAGAGCTCCCTAATGTACAGCCAAACTCAGAACCCTCTTCATGGGGCGAGCCAGCCAATTCTAACTCTTCAGTGGGCAGTGGAACTTCAGCTTGGGGCCAGCCCTCTAGGGGCTGTGGGGGATGGGGTGAAGGTGGCCATGACTCCAGTGGACCTTATGGCAGAGGAAATGCACCTGCTGGATCAGGCTCCTGTCAGGAAGGTAAGTTTGGAAACTAAGACATTGTTGATACTTAAATGTGCTGTATTCAGATATGTAATTTATATTTATTTTTGTTTCCATTTGATGATAAAGTTAAACTATACTGTCCTCTGGTGGTTGAATAAATCAAATAAATTTTCTGCTAAATACTTTATGCTATACCATATTACACGCTGAGACAACTTTGTATTATAAAATATAAATTCTGTGGCTCTCTGGCATTAAAAATTGCTGTTTGCTTGAACATCTCAACCAGCCTGACAAGCAAACACTGACACAACCAGTGGTGTGGGTTTGGGCCAGGGCTATCTGTTTTTCCAACCAGTGACAGAACGGGGCAGTATTTGAGAAGCTTGTTTGAAAACTGTTTGGTGACCCTGGTGCCACAGAAATGAACTTGTACATGTTGTTTGAACATAAATGTGTGTTGGCAGTGTGTGAACACAACCACCCTAAAATCATACAAATCCACCCGCTCCTTTTTTTTAATCCCTATAAATCAAAATAAAGGTAACAAAATAAAAAAATTGCTGATATTTTGGCCAAGGTGGGCGAAGATAAAAATCTTTATTGTCATTATTTTATCTTTGTTAAAAAATAAGAACAAAGATACACATTACAACTACACATAATATACAAATAAAACAAACAGTGCTTTATTTTCAGGTACAATAGGTGTATTTAGCAGGAGCATTCAAGAAATTGAATGAACACATATAAAAATAAAACACTATATAGTCTGATTTCTAAAGCAATTGTATTAAAGTTCTTCAGTCAAGAATAGTGAGTGATTTTTCTCTTTGCATTTTGTTGTTTTATTAACGTTAAAGGAATAGTTCACCCAACAATAAAAATTCTGTCAGTGTTTTATATTTATACCATCATTTACTCAAAAGTTTTTTTAAACCTGAATGAGTTTCTTTCTTCTGCTGAACATAAATGCTATTTTAAAGAATGTGGAAAACCAAACAGCTGCTGGTCCACAGTGACTTCCGTAGTATTTTTTTTCCTACTATCAAATTCAAGGTGGACCAGCAACTGTTTGGTTACCCACATTCTTCAAAATATCTTCTTTTGTGTTCAGCGCATGAAAGAAATGAATGCAAGTTTGGGACAACATGTGAGTTAGGGATATGCCGGTATCAATTTTTCATGTTGTGATTAATTGCTCATGCTTTTATCACGGTATGCGGTATTATCACGATATTGAAATTTAGTTTTAAAAAAGTGCTGTCATAATACAGTATAACAGGTTTAATAACTTTTTTCTTATAACAAAAATAACTGAACATTTAAATCCAATAAAGCAATACAGAAAAATGTATAAAGTTCAAAGTTTTACACAGATTAAAGTGCAAAAGAACTATAAAGACCAATAGGTATCACTTTACAATAAGACCTCATTAGTTAACCTTAGTTAATGCATTGACATTCACAATGAGCAATAGCTATTTGCTACAGAAGTCTTAGTTCATGTTAGCTCATTAAATAACACAGTTGCAACTTTCGATTTTAACAACCTGTTATTAAATATTGGAATACCTAAGATTAATGAATGTTCAGAAGAATTTTTCATTGGCAGTTTATGTTAACTAATGAATTAACTAATGTTAACTAATGAAGCCCTAATGTAAAGGGTGACCGATATGTAAACCTTGTGTGTTTTGACAGTATTGGCGCAAAAGATAACTTAGTTCAGTAATCAGGCACTGTTTGACAGGCTTTTTAGTGTGCGCGCGCTTCGGGTATACATGCTCAGAAAAAACGCACAACAGACCAGAGTGCGAATGAAACATTTAACCGGCAAAGCTTTAAAGCACATGCAAATAATGTACTTTTGCGATTGCGAGTAAGTGCAGTGTCCTGTGAAATTAATTCTACCACCGAGTTAACACTGAAGTGAATGTGATGTCGCGCTGTACAGTGTCTTGAGACGGAGGCACCAGAACTATAACTGATAGAATGTGCGCTGAAGCACGATACTATGATATTTCTTCAAAAGCAGATCGTGGAGAAATGTTTATCGTCCGCGATCAAAAATCGTCATATCACACACCCCTAATAAATAGGCATTTTCTAAATTATATAATAAATGATCTGTGGGGTATTTTGAGCTGAAACTTCACAGACACATTCTAGGGACACCTGAGACTTATATTACATCTTGAAAAAAGGGACATAATAGGTACCCTTTAAAGGGATAGTTCTATTCTGTCAATAATTACTCACCCTCATGTCGATCCAAACATCTTCAGAACATAAATTAAGATATTTTTGATGAAATCCAAGAGCTCTCTGACCCTCCCATAGACAGCAAGGGTCCTACCACGATCAAGGCAAAGAAATGTAGTAAGGATGTGGTTAAAATGGTCCATGTGACATCAGTGATTCAACCGTAATTTTAAAAAAGCTACGAGAATACTTTTTGTGTGCAAAGAAAGAAAAAAACCCCGACTTTATTCGGTTTCTTCTCTTTTGGGGACAGTCCTCCCATGCAATTATCGACGCTTTCCTCTGCTTGTGAACAAGGTGAAGTGCATGTGTGTTCTATGTCAGCAGCACCACACGAATACGTCGATAATGGCGGAGGACTGTCCAGGAAGAGAAGAAATCGTTGAATATAGTCGTTTTTTTCTTTGCACACAAAAAAGTTTCTCGTATTTTTGTAAAATTACAGTTGAAACGGTTGACTGGTGTCACAACAGTAACCTGGGTCGCCAGTAGCAAACAATGGCAAACAAACTAAGTAATTACACCATTTACAAGCATTTTATCTGCGTTATATGTTCTGTAAAAAATGTTCATATCGGTGGCATATCTGTGGGATATATACTCCAATGCAGATATATCTGCGACAGGCTCATATCGGCCGATAAAATCGGCAAAACAATAAATCGGTCAGGCTCTAATAAAATTACAGCCTTGATTATGAGCAGTCTTGTCCATTGGTGTTTTGCCAGGTCCCAAATCTATGCAAGATGGCTGGGGATCAGGAGGGGAAGAGATTGGCATGAACACTGGCCAATGGGATGCTGATGATGGTGACATGTGGAACAGTCCTACATCCCAAGATTCCTCTTGTAACTCCTGGGGTCAATCCAAGAAGGGCCCACAAAGGGTAAGCCATTTAAAGCCATGAGTACTCTGTTGTGTAATGTCATGTCACATGCTTACTGTGTGGTTAAGAAACTGTTTATGTAAACTATTTATATATATCATATGTAATATTGCTATTGTTTGTTCTTTACAGGGCAAGGTCTCCAACAAGCAGGATGATGTTTGGATTATGACCAGACTTATCAAGCAGCTTACAGATATGGGTTTTCCAGTATGTTGAAGCCATAAACATTTACTCTGAAAAGACTTGTTGCTTAAGTCATTAACAAGATATGTAAAATAAATATTTTTTTAGCATAACGATTATTTTTCTTTTACCTGATACAGAAGGATCCTGCAGAAGAAGCCCTAAAGAGCAACAATATGAATCTGGATCAGGCCATGAGTACGTAGTAAACTTTGAAGTTAACCCATAACAGCAGACAGACATGCCGTAAATCATTTGGTCTTGGTCTAGAACACTGATTATGTACTTGCCTTTTCCTCAGGCGCTTTGTTGGAGAAGAAAACTGAACTGGACAAACGGGGGATGGGCATGTCAGACTACAGTAATGGGATGAATAAGCCCATAGTGTGCCGACCCACAAACCTCTCCAAAGACCCCTCACTGGATCGTGCCCCCTTCCTAGACAAGGTATAGTTTTTTGTTTGTTTTGCTGTTGTTGTTTTTGTTTTTTTTAAGTCCCAAGAAATTTTCTGGACTGGAGTAGAGAGAAATTTGATCTAGGTAAATATTACGACTAGTTTTTGCAACATATTTTCTGGTCTCAGGACGGTAGGCTGTCAGATGATGCTTCAACCTCACCGTTTATGCCTTCTCCTGGCCTCAAGCTCCCACTGGCCAATAGCAGCCTCCCTAGCCACGGATTGAGTGGGGTCTCCTCTGGCCTGTCCATGCAAAACTTGAACAACAGACAGGTGAGTGTTGTGAAATCTGTACAAAGGACATAGGCATAGCAGACAAGAGTTATAAATTTAGATGCAGCTATGAAGCTGCATTGTCTGGTATACTGCCCTACTCCTTATTTTGTATTTTGTTTTTGTTTTTTAAGTGTCGCAGGGCTCCAGACAAAAAAAATTGAGTAAGGAGCTATTGGCTCCTATAAGAAAAAAACTTAGGCGCCAAATTATTTTTTTAGGTGCCACAGAATAAACGTGTTTTATTATTTTTTTCTATTTTTTTTTTTACATTTGAACATTTCAATCATACTGTCATGTGTTTATGTCTCATCTTTTCTTGACTTTATCAGCATTTTAATCCAGCTTGTAGATGACCTGGGAACTAAGGTTCACTTAAAGTGGGAACTAAATGTCTTTTCCAACTTGAAATATACAGTCACAAAGAATTGTTCATTACACAGAATCTGTACCAAGATCGTGGAGCATCACTTGGCCACTGAGTGTAGTTTGGGCTCCTCCTCAATGCATCCTGTAAATGTTGTCATACAATCTTAAAAATAAAGTTGCTTCATGATGCCACAGAAGAACCTTTTTTGTCTAAATGGTTTCATAAAGAACCTTTAACATCTGAAGAACCTTTACGTTTCTCAAAAGGTTCTTTGTGGCGAAAGAAGGTTCTTCAGATTATAAAAAGTTGAGAAAGAGATGGTTCTTTAAAGAACCTTTGACTGAATAATTCTTTGTGGAACCAAAAATGGTTCTGTGAAGAACCATTTAAGCACCTTTATTTTTAAGAGTGTATGTCTTTCACACTTTCAGTCTGTTTTTCTTAATTAGTAATTTTATAGGAGGAGTTGAATCATGTAGACAACAGGTTAAGTAAAAATATGAATATGCAATAGCGCATAAATATAGCAAAATGCTCCTCTTTACAGTTATTTTTCTAGCTGACTGATGAACTTATGGACACCAAATGGTTATTCTGAGGTAAATGTATATTACGTTGCAATGTTTACAAGCTTTACACATTTTCCGCAGTTTGAAACACTGAATGAGCTTTTACATGAGACATTTCAGTAAGTTGTACTGTAGGCTCTCTTATAAAATAGCCTACCTTTTTATGTTAATTCATGTTCATATTATGTGCTATAGTAGTAAAGAGAAAGATTAAATGGGTTCACTAGCCGCTTGAACTGAGGCGCTAAAGCGATCGCGTCTGCCGCATTAAAGAGTGTCAAAACTGCATTTATTGTTTGAATTTCGTTATGAATTTGGAAAAATTTTAAAGCTGCTACTTTGTTTATTAAAAAGTATCGAAACAGAATTAACATTAACATCGCATTAACAGAACACATCATAGACTAAGAACTTGATAAGAAGAAGCCATATTATGAATGATTATAAATGAGAATTGTTAACGATATTGCCATTTTCCACACAGCTGACAGCTTTACCTGTTGTAGTTTGTTCAAGTTGTGCACGAAATAGATGCTGCTTTTCTGCACTTTCACTTCGCATGTCTCCGTCATTTCGATCTCTCTCGCACTGTTCAACTGAGCTGCGTTTATCAGGTGTGTGACAATGCTGCTGTGTGGCAGAGATGAAGACTTTTTGAAACTCTTTTTTCCACTAAAACTTTGATGCGCATCGTCTCAATTTAATACGTGAACATAACAAAAGATGTGATCGCAAAACAATCAGGAAAAAAGGCATTACATGCACATTTTTAAGTTATAACATGTAAATATATATGGGCCTAGTCGGCAGTGGCGACCTCAACAAAAACTTCACTTGCAAATTAATATTTTTGGTCACAAATGCGACCGTTTTAGTCGCAGTCTGGAGCCCTGTGTTGTTAAAAAGCCACTATAAGGCTGGAGTGGTGAAATTAAGTTATTTTAAATTTATAATTAAAGATATATAAACACTGAAACATGACTGATTCTTCCATTTATGTTTTATTTATATGAAATTAATATTTGTTTATTTTAATCTGAAAGTGGCAGAAGAATTTGACGTTGTGTTCAGGTCAATGTTAAAAGCACATAAATTTTTTTAAGAGGCTGCATTGTAAGACAGATTTAAATTTGTGCTGAAATTGATCTGATTTTTTTCTTGTTAAGTGCATCCAGCCATTTAGAGTATATCAAAGCATTTCATTTGTATTGATCCCCACCCCCACTCTTTTGTTTTATAGATGCAGAATGGAATGTTCGGCACTAACGGAGCAGCACAAACTCGGGTCATGCAGCAGCAGGCCCTGCCCCCTCAGCAACCAGTGCCACCTCTTAGCTCCACCCAGCCTACTCTACGTGCTCAAGTGCCTCAGCTTCTCACCCCTCAGGTACAAATTGCATCTATTATTTCAAATTCCATAGTGCCTGCATCTGTGACTAAATCCAAGGGCATTTTTTAAATTTCTAAAGGCAAATTTTTCTAACCTAATTAAATGTTTGTAGCTTCTTAAATTCAATCAATCATCTAGTCAGAATAGTCAAGTCAAGTCACCTTTATTTCCGTAGTGCTTTATACAGTACCGTTTGTGTCAAAGCAGCTTCACAACCATTTGTGTCAAAGCAGATTCACAGAGATAAACAAGAAAACAGCAGAATTAATTATGGAAGCTCAGCTATGGAGACAGTTCAGATTTAAAGAAGCTCTAAAAGACAACACACAACAGTGTCATTATTTAGCTAAAGTCAGTTCAGATAACATAACAGTGTGAATTTAATCAGCTATAAGCAATGTTGTTATTCAATTCAAGTCAGTTCAGTGCTGATTCAGTTCAGTTCAACAACAGTGTTGATGTAAAGCAGCTCCACAGAAAACAATAGTTCCATCATCCAGCTTAATTCAGTTCAAGTATTGTTTTCATCTGATTGTGTCAGTCAGTGCGGTCATATTGATAAATGACTGAAAGTTAAGTGTCTTTCAGACCCCAATAAAGCAAGCCAGAAGGCAACAGTGGCAAAGAACCCAAACTCAATCACCAGAAGAATAATAAGACACTACAGGGCTGTTACTTAAAGAGATATTTCTCCCAAAAATGAAAATTCTGTCATTATTTACTCACCCTCAACTTGTAAATAAAAGAAAATATTTTGAAGCATATGGGTAACCAAACAGTTAATGGTCCCCATCAACTTCAATGTTATGGAAAAAATGCTTCAACCGTTCTTCTGTGTCATAGCGATTATTGGTCACACTTTATTTTAAGGTCCAATTCTTGCTATTAACAAACCATTAACTACGACTTTTGCCTCAATAAACTACTAATTTGCTGCTTATTAATAGTTAGTAGGGTAGTTGTTAAGTTTAGGTATTGTGTAGTATTAGGGATATAGAATATAGTCATGCACAATATGTGCTTTTTATGTTCTAATAAACAGCCAATATGTTATTAATAGGCATGCTAATAAGCAACTAGTTAATAGTGAGAGTTGGTCCCTATACTAAAGTGTTACTGAATTATTTTCATTGTACAATATATATGGTACTGAATCTAAATGTCACTTAAAGGGGTTGTTTGCTCAAAAATGAAAATCTGTTCATTTTCATCAGGAAGTCAGATTTCCTTGCTTCCACTAAAACACGAGATTCTCTTTGGAACATTTTCAAATCATGGTGGATAACATGGATCATCAGGCTTTGCACAAACCGGTTGGTTCTTGGTTTTGTTTTTTTTCTGTAGGTTCAAGCACAGCTATTACAGTTTGCGGCAAAAAACATTGGACTGAATCCTGCACTTTTAACCTCACCAATAAATCCTCAACAAATGACCCTGCTGTACCAACTACAACAACTGCAGGCGGTGAGTCACACAGTTCACTCTCCTGCTTTCCTGTTTCCACATGAATACCAATGATTGTCGTCTACCCACTGGCCTGTCTGCAGGGAGTGAGATGCTAGCGCTTTCTGTCTTGATAATGACCCCATCACCTTTATATCTCTATTTATACTTCTTTCCATTTCTCTGTAATTTCCTCTCTTTCTCAAATTGTGTCTTTTTCTCTTTTTGTCAGGCGTATCAGCGTTTGCAGATTCAGCAGCAAATGATGCAGGCTCAGCGTAACGTCTCTGGTCCCATCAAACAACAAGAGCAGCAAGTATGACAGACTAATTTTCCTGGCCCTGATATTTATACACTTACAGTAATTCTAGTCCTAAAATATTAGCTTGTAGTTATCTTTTGATGACTATGACAAATAATGTTCCATATACAATGAAAATGATGATCACTGTCGTCCTCTCACACAGGTTGCACGTACAATCACAAACATGCAGCAGCAGATCCAGCAGCACCAGCGTCAGCTGGCCCAGGCCCTGCTTATGAAACAGCAACAGCCTCCACCTTCCTCTCACACTGGCCTGCACCCAAATCTTGGCAAGGCAAGCCTGGATACTTTCACGGGTCATCCTCAGACTTCAGGCCTCTCCATTTCAGACCTGCAGACCAAAGAGCAGCAGTCTTCTCCAAACTACTTCAGCCCTTATACACTCTGTAAGAGAACAAGCCTCATGTGGACACACTCCTGCATGCGTATGATTACTGTGTGTGTGTGTGTGTGTGTGTGTGTGTGTTTGTGTTTGTGTGCGCACTTGTCACTTTATATTACAATGTCCGTGTTATGCATGTTCCATGTACTTACTGTAGTAATACCAGTAAATTATGCAGAATTACAAACAACTAACACTAATACAAATCCTAACCTTAGTAAGTCCATGTTTTTAATTGATATTACTCCGTAATTGTTTGTATAATTACAGTGTCAAGAAAATCTTAAAACAAAGTGTACATTTTATATAGTAGCTGATAGTTGCACTGAGTATCTATATTCTGTATCGTTTGTAATAATAGTAGGACTGTCATTTTAAAACATTGCTTTAGTTTGATTAAAAAAACAAAAAAACTATGCAATAAAAAGTTGTTTTTGTCACCATTCCTGTACTTAAATTCTTCTTTTTGTTTGCCATAACAATGTAATGCCTTTCAATTATCTTCATTTGGGGCTTCATTGGGGGTTTTCGCCGCAAATATTGTTATAAGTGAATAATGTATTAGAATATTGTGTAGTAAATTTGATTCTTTTTTTGATTCATTGATTGCCAAGCTGTAGTTTTTTGTTATTTTGATCTTGACATTTTTCCCCTTGTGTTTGTGTGTGAATGTGCATTAATCTCCTTGTCTCTTTGTCTCCCCCCTGTAGCTGGTTTGAACACGAACATGAATGTAAACTGTATGGAGGTGGGAAGTCTATCTCTCAAAGACCCCCCTCAGCCTCAATCCCGGCTCTCGCAGTGGACTCATTCAAACTCCATAGATTCCCTGTCAGCTAGCGCTCAGCACATGGAGGCAAACCTCAATAAGCATGGTATTAATTTATTCATTGCTCCAGACATATTATGGGCTTGATTTTGCGCTGTGACATACATAAGTTTATCTAATCGAATCTATAATGGCAAAACAATCATATGATAGATTCTAGGTCTAACATCCTTTAAAAGACTTCTGCTTCCACAAACAACATTCCACTCATTGAAAACACAGCAATATCTTTAATCAAACATCATACTCCAGACACTGAGTCACAAATTCTGTCCCTGAGATTTGTGTATTTCAAAAGGACAGACAAAACTCCCTTTCAAGTTAAGAGCGTGCTGACATTCCAGAGTTATTTTTGCTCTGAGACAGCAGGGCCTTTTAAAATATTATCTTTCCTTGGCATTTGTTCTCAGTAAACCTTGCCTGAACAGTACGTCCAGCCAAGCCGCTGCAGTTTACTGGAGTGAGTTCAGCTGAGGACAAAAGCTCAAGCCTGTAATCTTGAATTTTATTATTCAGATTGTGGGTTGCTTAGTCTCTAAATATTTTATTATATATTTTGAGTAAAACCTCCTGTGAATAGACAGATTAAAGAGACTGTTCTTTTGTTTCAGGTTCAATTTCTTCTGCTCAGTCCCATGTTCCTGTCGGAAAGAGCACCATGGAAGATTCCTTCAGCCCATACAATCTAATGTCAAGCTCTGAATCCCCCACCAGCACCATGGTGTCTCCAGAGAGCTGGACACAAGGCAAAAGTCCCAATGAGAAAATGTCTAGTAACTCCAATATCAACTGGCCTCCTGGTAAGCTTCAGTGGCATATTACTGATCACAGTAATATATATATATATATATATATTGTTTTTTATTATGTGTATGAGATGGCACAGTAATTAACCAGAAAAAATTAAAGATGGAACTTCATGACCAAAAGGTTGCCGACCCCTGTTACATACTTTGAGTCTTGATGCTGGACAACCAATTATGCTCTTGCTTTATCTCAGAATTCTGCCCTGGGGTGCCATGGAAAGGTCTGCAGAACATTGACCCTGAGAATGACCCCAACATGACCCCAGGAAGTGTTCCAAGTGGCCCCACCATTAACACTAACATACAGGATGTGAATCGCTACCTGTTACGTGACAGGACTGGAGGTATGGATGATTGATGGCATATGAAATAAGTTTGAACAGACCAACAGAGCTTGTTACTTAAAAAATCTGAAATATTTACTGCTAAATGAACATTGACTGTCAACTTTAAAGCTATAACAAATCACTATTTTAAGGATCATTACACAATAAATGTATTTCACTGTTTCGTCATGCCCCTTTTGCTATCCACTTGGGACAAATGGCCACAATAGCCTCGTCCCCATCTCAGAATGGAACTATGTCTTCCTCGAGTGAGTGGTCAGTCACTGCCTGTAACTCGTTCGGTTTGTCCTCTCAGAACGAGAGGGACGCTAACAGTCCAGGTAGAGCCCTAAATCCTAAACAGCCCTGCCCCACACTAGACCTAATCACCCTTATTTATCCTTACACCTGGACAGGCCCTCACCAAGTCTGTGTTCTCCTAAAACCCACATTCGCCCTTGTTCTGTTACACTTTTTGCTGTTTTAAATGTTGATCCTTGTCAGAATCAATAAACTAATTTTAAGTCTATGTATGTATGTATGTATGTATGTATGTATATATATATATATATATATATATA